ACTTCACTTCACTTTATTAATGACTCTAAGATTTCACTTCACTTCATTAGTGACTCTAAGACTTCACTTCACTTTATTAGTGACTCTAAGACTTCACTTCACTTCATTAGTGACTCCTCTAAGACTTTGCTTCACTTTATTAGTGACACCCTGCCTGCCAAGACCTTCTCTGACGAGGGCTTGCGGCCCTAAAACCACACTGAAACAGTCACGTTCAGTCGGGCACCCCTCTTGAATTAGCAAGAGCCTAATTAATAAAGCACCCCATCAGCCTCCCAATCAACAAGACAATTATCATCTCAAACATCCAGCTCCAACCACCTTCATGGTCCCCGAAGAAACACACCATGGGCCGGACGGTATTTTGGGAGCTCTCTCCAGAATTTGACATTACGTGTTTTTACATAACAAGCCATTTTTTTATGTTCCAAAGGATTTAAAATCTTGGGATTGTACTCAAAGAAAAATACCCTTTGATGAAATAAACCATAACGTGGGTGACGTGTGACACCAAGTCTGGGCAACCTGTTCCAGTGTCTCACCACCCTCACAGTGAAGAATTTCTTCCTAATATCTCACCTAAACCTTCCCCTCTTCCAGTTTGAAGCCATCTCCCCTTGTCCTGACACTAACTGCCCTTGTCCAAAGTCCCTCCCCGGCAGGCACACAGATTTTACAGCCAATTAACGGGTTTCTAACAAAGACTAATTAGCAAAACCAAAGGACTTCTGACCTGCTGGACAGGACTGATCATGTCTGGCGTCTCCTTGCCCCAGTAACATTTCACCAGGTGTCCTTCTATAGTTGTTCCGTTGACGGAAACGATGGCGTGGGCGGCACTTTCATGAGAATTAAACCTGTGGAAATACAAGTCGTGCCAATATAAATATGTTAATCACTCTCTTGGTGATTAACAGCCAGAAATAATCCCCAGAGAGAGTCCCTGCTAGCTCAATGAAGGTTTGGGCTCTGTTACAACACCAGCCTGAATGCAGCAGCTTCCTCCTGTCACCCCCAGAGCAGGTGGCTGGGACTGTCTGGCTACAGACACTTTTCCTGTCTCAGTGTCATAATTCTCCCTAAAAAAATTGGGATATTCATCAGCAAGAAAAGCAACTTGATTTATGATGGTTTTTTATTATCTGGAGCTTCATCAACAGAGAGATGAGGATGTTTCTGGAAAAAAGACTTTTAAAACTCAATCACCTGCCTCAGAAACTCTGCTCTGAAATAGCAAAAGAGGAATCGAATGAGATTTCATAGAATCAGAGAATCCCAGAGTGGTTTGGGTGGGAAGGGACCTTAAAGCTCATCCAGTCCCAACCCCCCTGCCAGCAGCAGGGACACCTTCCACTAGACCAGGTTGCTCAAAGCCTCATCCAGCCTGGCCTTGAACACTTCCAGGGAGGAGCAGCCACAGCTTCTCTGGGCAACCTGGGACACTGTCTCACCACCCTCACACCAAAGAATTTCTTCCTCACATCTCAGCTCCATCTCCCCTCTTCCACTTTCAAGCCATCACCCCTTGTCCTGTCACTCCCTGCCCTTGGCCAAAGTCCCTCCCCAGCCTTCCTGGAGCCCCTTCAGGTACTGGGAGGCCACTAGAAGGTCTCCCCGGAGCCTTCTCTTCTCCAGGCTGAACAGCCCCAACTCTCTCATTTCTTTTGCTGAAGGGCACTGTCCCAGTTCAGACTGGGTTAAGTAGATTTTCCCACTCCAGCTAAGAGAGCTACGAGCTGTAACTCCCTCCTCATATCAGGCTGCAGTCAGAGAAAGCTGCTGTAAAGCATCCTCTCCTGTTGGGCACATCCACCCACGCTCCTCCAATGTCAAGAGTGTGCGAACCCACCAACCTCATTAAATTCATCGCCACGCGCACGGCGCTGCAGCCTACCGTACAAAGGAGTAGCCTTTATCTGGGAAGACTCGGATCTCCATTATCTGCCCGAACGGAGAAAAAGTCTGGCGCATGAGCTGTTCTGAAGCAGGAAGAAAAGAGAGCAATAAAATCACAGAGTCACAGGATGTCAGGGATTGGAAGGGACCTCGAAAGATCATCCAGTCCAACCCCCCTGCCAGAGCAGGAACCTCAATGAGATCACACAGGAAGGCGTCCAGGCAGGTCTTGAATGTCTCCAGAGAAGGAGACTCCACCCCCTCCCTGGGCAGCCTGTCCCAGGGCTCTGGCACCCTCACTGGAAAGAAGTTTCTTCTCCAGTTGAAGCAGAACCTCCTGTGTTCCAGCTCACACCCATTGCCCCTTGTCCTACCATTGGGCATCACTGAGAAGAGCCTGGCTCCATCCTCCTGACATTCGCCCTTTACATATTTATAAACATTAATGAGGTCACCCCTCAGTCTCCTCTTCTCCAAGCTAAAGAGCCCCAGCTCCCTCAGCCTTTCCTCAGCAGGGAGATGCTCCACTCCCTCCATCATCTTGGTGGCTCTGTGCTGGACTCTCTCCAGCAGTTCCCTGTCCTTCCTGAACTGTGGGGCCCAGAACTGGACACAAGATTCCAGATGTGGCCTCACCAGGGCAGAGTAGAGGGGCAGGAGAACCTCTCTGGACCTACTTACCACCCCCCTTCTAATGCACCCCAGGATGCCATTGGCCTTCCTGGCCACGAGGGCACAGTGCTGGCTCATGGTCATCCTGCTGCCCACCAGCACCCCCAGATCCCTTTCCCCTATACTGCTCTCCAACAGGTCTGCCCCCAGCCTGCACTGGAACCTGGGTTCCAGTATAAAATGAAGCGCCCGCAGTGTTTATTCAGAGATCATCCACGCGACGGCAGCGTGAAGTGGCGTTACCTGTCAGTCCCGAAGTCACGCCGCCGCAGTACACGGTGCAGTTGCTCGGGCTGGATTGATTGACCACGTCATCGTACGACAGTTGTTTGGTGTTTGCTTAAAGAGAGATTTTTGGAGATGTTTTTTCAGTGGATCAGACACACGTGACGTAGGAATTCTAGAAATTCTCAGCCTGATTGGCACGAGAGGGGGAGCACAAACTGCAGACACTCATCCTAATATCTTGCCTACAAGAAAGCTGGGGAAGGACTTTTCATAAGGGCAGTTAATGACAAAACAAGGGGAAATGGGTTTAAGCTGAAAGAGGGGAGGTTTAGATGAGATATTAGGAAGAAGTTCTTCACTGTGAGGGTGGTCAGACAGTGTCCCAGGTTGCCCAGAGAAGCTGTGGCTGCTCCTCCCTGGAAGTGTTCAAGGCCAGGTTGGATGAGGCTTTGAGCAACCTGGTGTAGTGGAAGGTGTCCCTGCTGCTGGCAGGGGGGTTGGGACTGGATGAGCTTGAAGGTCCCTTCCAACCCAAACCATTCTATGATTCTATGATCCAGCACATCCCATATACCTCATTTAAAATTTCCCTCATGGAAATACCATCTTTGACGCAGTCCTGCTTTGTTTCACAACCCTAAAAGCCAGGGAGCAAATTTAAAGTTGTCCTGACTGTCTAGAAAGAAATCAAAACTTCCAACCTGAGTGTGGCAGAAGCCAAAAGAATCCGGGGGTAAAGGAATAAAAGAGCAGAGCAAAGGAAGCTGCTTTATTTGGGAGGTTGGAAACCATTCTGAGCAGGCCTTCACTTTTAGGACCAGCTTTCCCTCCTCCCACCAGCTCCAGCTTGCCTTTTTCTCTTCCTCTTAAGACACAAACACCACAGGACCTACATTCATATGTACTCTTTGGAGCCGGAGGTTTCCGCGTCGCCCAGTTCGTTCTGATTTGCCTTCCACCGAGCCACTGACCGCCCATCTGCTGAATCGCGTTCTCTGCGTCCTGCCCACGAGATGGGGAAGAGAAGGAAAAAGAAACTCACCGTCAGCATCTCCTCCTTTGGGGACAGAGCCAAACCGATGACATCCCCACGAACCCAACCTGTCCGACCTTTTAAACGTGCCAAGAGAAATTTTATTTCAAAAGAACTGGATTTGGGCAGGATCTCTGGAGACATCTTATAGCGGCCTCCCGGTACCTGAAGGGGCTACAAGAAAGCTGGGGAGGGACTTTTCATACAGGCAGTTAATGGCAAAACAAGGGGAAATGGGTTTAAGCTGAAAGAGGGGAGGTTTAGATGAGATATTAGGAAGAAGTTCTTCCCTGTGAGGGTGGTCAGACACTGGAACAGGTTGCCCAAGGAAGTTGCGGATGCCCCCTCCCTGGAAGTGTTGAAGGCCAGGCTGGATGAGGCTTTGAGCAACCTGGTCTAGTGGAAGGTGTCCCTGCTGCTGGCAGGGGGGTTGGGAATGGATGAGCTTTAAGGTCCCTCCCAAGTCTGGGATTCTATGATTCTATGATTGGGGGGGAAGTGCGAGCGGCTGCGTGGTGTTTGGCTGCCGGCTGAGTTAAACTACCACATCAACAAAGAAAAAACAAAAGCTTCCGCCGCGGCAGGAGAAGCCACAACTGGATAGAGACAGGGAGTGACAATGGTCCTTCCCCAGAGCGGGTGCTGAAAATTCCCTGTCTGCTTTTCCAGGGCGTGTTTTCTCTTTTTGGGCAGAGAAAAACTTAATGAGATATAACA